CCTGGGCTCCCCTGGGACTCCTCCACTGGCAAAGCCCACGGCCCCATCCCAGCTGGGATTTTCCTTTGTGGTGGAGAGTGGGGAGATGGGGAAATTCCCAGGCGTTGCCTTTCCCACCCGGCCAGCAGTGGAGGATGCTCAGACCCCAAGGGGATGTATAACCCAAAACAGTTTTGCCTTTAACCATGCCCAGGCCACAAGGTTTCTGCCATGCAGAAGGGCTTTTGGGCTGCTGCAGAGCCTTCCGTGGCCATTTGCCCCGTCTGGCTGCAGGGATGCCCTGTAGAGCCCATGGATGCTGGCAGGAGGTTGGGGGTCCAACAGGCAAGTGGCCCCCAGACTCCAGGTTCCTTGCACAGCACCACCACAGCGTGTAGCTTCCTGCCTCAGCAAACTGGCCATGCCCAGAGGGGAAGAGGCTTTGCAGAGCCCCACGTTGGCATAGACATTGCAAAACCCCCGGAGGTACCCAGAGCACCAGGGCTCCGGCAGTGAAATGCTGTCCTCCACAGCCTGCTTCACCCTGAGTGCCACCAGCCTCCTGCCAGCACCAGCAGCGTCCCGGGGTTGCACCACAGCAGCACACAGAGCCGAGCTGGGGCCGAGGTGTGAAATGCAAAGCCGCCCGCTGATGTTATAAATATTTCTCTGGCAAACACTTTGCGCTCTGCGCTTGCAGGTGGCAGCTGGGAGCTGCAGGGAGGCTGCGAGGGGCTGAGCATTCGGCCGAGGAAGTGGGGAGGTTATCTCCTGCCCGCAGCCGGTGCTGCTGTGCAAGCAGTGCTGCACCCCGCATCGATGGCTGGTTCCTGCTCCACCGTGCTGGCGAGGGACATGCACACATGGGCACAACACACATGGCTGGGACCCCCATCTCCTGGGGAGATGCGGTGTGTCCTGTGCTTTCCTCCTGGGGAGGGCTGCCCTGAAGCTACTGGGATGGGCGCAGCCACCAGCCCTGCCCAGAGTCCCCTGGGGGAAGCAGGGAGGTGGATGGTGGGAGGAAGAGATTTGAAGTCATTTCTGATACTGCCTGCTTACCAGGGTTGAGTGTTTCTTTCTCCACCCCTACAACTGCAGTGATGAAACGCAGCCACTAGATTTGCCAGGGCATGGGGGACTTTTCCTCCCCGAGAGACAAGGACAGACCTCCCAGGGCCCTGACAGAGACGCCCTGAGCAGCATCACGTACACCCCAGGCCACAGCCATGTCATGAGGGATGAGACTGGAGATGTGGTGACAGGGCTGTCACCAGACTGCACCACAGCACAGTGCCTCATGCCCACCTCAACCCAGGACCAGGGGCCCCAGGACCCCCCACCATCACACCATGCCAGCAGTAACCCCACACTCATCTCTCCTCTCTCCTTGCCAGAGTTTTTCAAGTTCAAAGGCTTCGGGAGCCTGAGCAGCATCCCCCGCTCCTTCACCCTCCGGCGCGTTTCTGTGGCCCCCAGCTCTCCCGAGAGCCTGGGACCGGGTCTACCTCCTCCCCACGGCTTCCTGGAGGAGGCCTTTGACAGCACCCAGGATGATCTCAACACCATGCCCAAGAGCCCTGGCCCCTACGCCCGGTCGTCGGACATGTACAGTCACATGGGCACCATGCCCAGGCTGAACCTGGGCAAGGCAGGGAAGAGCCTGGGCAAAGCCAAGAATAGCCAGAGCTGCCGGGAGAAAGGGACCCCCAGCAACATAAGCCCCCGTACATCCCTGGTCCCCGACCCCAAGTCCATCGAGACGTCTGACACCCCTCACCCTGGCACGAACCCATCCTCAGTTGCTGGAAAAGCCGAGCAGGAGGAGGAGAAGGCTCCCTGTGGGGCAGCTACAGCCGGGATGGACCAGGAGCCTGTGGGGAATGTCTCCTGCCCTGGGACGGAGACACCGAGCTCCAACCTGGCCCCGAACACCAGCCCGGCCCCGAACTCCAGCCTGACCCCAAGTCCCAACATGGCACTGGCAGTGGAGACCACCGATGAGGATCTACCAAAAAAGGGGCAAGAGCATCCCAGTGAGAGCTCCCTGGACAGGTACGGCCACATTGGGTTTGCTCCGCCCTCCACCGGGACCAACTTTCTGTCCCTCCCAGGGCAAGGGGCGGGTGCTAGGACACAGTGGGGTCCCTTTGGTGCCCCCCCTGCCTCACCCGCAGTGCCGGCGGGATGCACCTGGCCGGGGGGATGGCACAGCCGGAGCACTCTGTACCACAGCCAGGTGCCGCGGGAAGCCACCTGGCCGGTGGGATGGCACAGCCGGAGCACTCTGTACCACAGCCAGGTCAGCAACTCCATGGGAGCTAAGTTTCCTGTGGGATTTCTGCTCCCTCCCGTTTCCGGACTGGGTAGAAATATCTCGGAGCCCCGCTCAGCCCCAGAATCCCTTTGTCCTGCCGGCGGCTCCGTTCCAGC